CGCTCTTCCGCTCTTCCCCTCCCATCATCTGTCCTCTCCCTCTTGGTATTTCTCTTTCGGTCTTCCTCGCGTACTCGCCACCTTCCCATTCTTTCTTTTTTTCATTTTGTCTCCCTTGGAATTTTATCTCTGTCTTGCCGTGTCTTGCTGTGTCCACTTTGCTCCATCTTCGTATCTCGCCTTTCCTCTTCGTTTTTAACTCTGTCCTCTGCTCGCGAGCTTCCACCCGAGATGCTGTCGTCCTCGACATACACTCAATTTCGGATAACTTGAAGCTGTCCCTCGATGACAGCGAAAATTGGCCGATGGCCAATTTTCTGAACGCGATCGCCGACGAACTTTTTTAATGCCGCCGTTCGTCATCGTCTACACGAGTTACGAGGTTTCTCTACTTAACGTTCGCTCTTTCCTTCTCCGAGGGCTTGCGTGTGTTTCTTCGATTTAGAATGTGTGCGCGTGTCCTTCGAGTAATTTTGGCCGACTGTGCTTGTTTTCTTCGGCACGATCTCTGGAAAGGGTAAATAATATTAGTCGTGGGCATGGAAAGAAATACATCGCCGCGAAATATCTTGATAAAACTTGTTCGGTCTTGCTTCTTAATAAGAATTAATGTTATAACTTGTTTTTTTTAGTTGTGTCTGTAATGCTTTTCTGGATAATAAATGCAGAAAAATGATAGCCACTTTGCGGCATTTAATATTTTTTTGCACAACTTTTTGTATTCCTATTTTTATGAAAATCATAAAGTATAAAATCACAAATTTTATAATTAAACCATAACTTGACAAATATTTTGACATGATATAACAAATCTTTTAAATTTCTTTTGGGTCACAATTAATTTCGCCATAAAATTATTATTCTAATATATAAGGACAGTCACAGCTCGCTAATTTCGACATGGCTGAAATCCAAGCGCAATTTCATAATACTTTGCAACATACAAGATCAACAGCCCGTTAATATCTCATTATTTTGACAATGGAAAATTTACTAATGTCGTAAATAAGATCAAGTAAAGTACAACGAGGTAACACATTGTATTTAACTCGCTGTATTTAACGTTATATGCAAAATGCATGCGCGTTGTTCAGCAAAAGCTTTGCGTAACGACTTCGGTGAAATTGTATATGTATAATATTTTATATTGTGTGTACGTGTGTGTGTGTATGTGTGTGTGCCTCATACTTCCCTTTTGTATATGAACACAATGCGTTTATACATCGTTTCCGTGACGTCACTTGCAGTGCTTTTACAAGCGTTAACAGATATGATCCGATAAGTAAATCCCATTCTGTGTAACAATAAAATATATGACGATATATCGGGGGGAATAAAACTCTACATGTATAAATTATAATATAACAATAAACCCGTAAAATTTAAAAATAAGAAGAGAGAGAGAGAGAGAAACATTCAATGTGTAAAGTTAATTAAATTAATTAAAGTAAATAATTATACAATAAAATAATGATAGCGATATTAATACTGAAATGTCTAACATTAAAGAATATTTAATAAGAATACTTTAATAATACTTATCATTTTATGCTTAATCCACCCCCCGTTTTCTGTCGAAAAGCTTTGTTTAAAATTTTTTTCTTTCTGTAATTTACTTAGGATATTGTTTCTTTTTAGAATATTTTACAAAATCAACTTTATTAAACGTATTTTTCTCAAAATTTATATTTTTTCTCTCTGTAAATCTTGATAAAGTGTGGAATGTTCGAAAATTTACAAGAAATATAGTATGCTTAATAGAGAGACAGAGAAAGAGAAACAGAGAGTGACATATCGGAAAAAATGTCAACGTCATACGAGTTAATAAAGTGCGAATTCGTAGAATTTATCCTGAACAATTTGACATGCAGTTCTCACATCGGTTACATCGCGGCGCGCCTTGTTGCATCAAAGCATGCGCATTTAACATAGATATATACGTTCTACGTATGTATCGCATCCGGCTAGCGATATCGTCGCCAACTTTTTTTATTGGCCACGATGGACTGGATATTTCCCTCCATTTTACCAAATTGTTCGGCGAATGTCCGACATTTATTTTATAGCGGGTGATTTTTACAACGCGACAGTTTATTCATTCATACTATATCATGAGACTTTTTCACCGACAGTCTACAAAATCTATGATATGTTAATCCTGATCAAGATATATCATTGTCTGGAATTGTGAGTTTTTGCTCAGAAAATTACATTTTTTATTAAATTGCGTAAGTTGTTTCGGCACATCTCTGTCAAGATAATTTAAATTCTCTTGGTTACTTTTTTTTCGTTATAAACGATACACGGCAAATAAATACCATTAAAGGGAAGATGAATTTGCATATTTTGATATAATCTTATTAATCGCACCATGCATATTTATTAAAATAATTAGCATTGGAAATTAATGTGATATGAAAAAACATTCTTTAATTAAATTTTACTGGGGAAGAGTATACTAAATACAATATAAACTTGATGGAATAGGGAATGATAGAATAATCGGTAGAAAATGAACAATTCCTGCGCTATATAACGTCGAGGGTATACGGTGGTAAGGTAATTAGAGATTGTAAGCAACTGCAAGAAGCGATTAATCATTGAGCTGCCGGCAATTTGGTGAACATACATCGGCTCGCGCTCGATCGTTGCTGCATCGAACCGCATGTATGTTGCACGGATGCGCTCCGGCAGTTACATAGAGTGCACTTGTGCTGTGTACTACCAGCTTATGCATTACTGCGACATATAGCAGTAACGCAGTGTTTTTCAACCGCGTTTCCTCGGGACGGAAGTCAATTTGTCTACAATTTTGGCTTTGTATTCTTAAAAAACTTTGGCATTTTTATATCGATGTAAGTAGACGAAAATAAATTCTAAGTGATTTACGGAATAAACTAAAACGAATCAAAGGTTCTAAATATGATTATTCCATTTGAACATTTGCAGATTTTGCCTTAAAAGATAAGATTTTGGATTTTTATGTCTCCGTTTTTCTGAGTTATCTCGATGAAAGTAAATTCTTACCGTATCTTTTTAAATTTAAATCAATTAATAATATTAGAAAGTACTTGATATGTATATTCATTTATATAGCTGACAGTTTTATAAAATTATTCGCTATGCGTAAAAAAAAAAAAGGTTGATGGACACTGACTCGATGTGATGGACAATCGAATGCGAAAAGTGTGGGCATAGGTTTTCATTAGCTCTCAAGTGCCTCGAAATCCACACGGGAACCTCTCGGCTCTCCATCTCATCGCTCGTCGTGTCGCATTAGCCTCGGCCACCGATCTAAATGCTCGATTGATTGATCGATGGGATCTCTGACGTTGGAAATAGGTCAGCCGTTAGGTTGGTTGGTTTGTCAAAGCGAAGAATATAACTTGTCAAAAGAAATATACACGTTCCATTACAGCTCCTTCTCTCTCTCTCTCTCTCTCCCTCTCTCTCTCTCTCTCTAATTCAGGAAGGAAAGAAATGACAAAAGTTTTAATAATTAAACAAATAGAACTTAATCGTGTTCAAAGATAACTGAGTTACATGTAGCAAAAAATACAGTTAATTTAAAAAAAATATACAGTTGATTCAATTAAGATAAAATATGCATTATAGATGTTGCATCAACAATATAATTTATTGATCAATAAATAATAAAAAGATATAATAATGTGAAATCGAGAATTTAAGATTAATGATTTATTAAGAGTAGTGAATTGATCGCTATTACGTACCAAATTTACGCATTCTCTTTGTTAGAACATACCTGTTATATTGGTTATGCTCCGTTTGGTGGCAAACACGCATATTTGAAATTATCGCTTGAATTCGGGAGAGTTGATTAATTTATCATTAATTAAAAACGAATGTGAAATTGGACGTGACGCGGCTTAATAAAAATGTAACAATAGAAAGCTGATTACACGATTGCCTGCAGTTATCGTATTTTGTGCCGATCTGTCATAAAAGTGCATTCCAATGCATTCGACTCGATTTCGCGATCCACAAATAATCGTGTAAATTTAATTTGTTACGGAAAAATTCACAAAAAATAGAATGCCGCGCGTTACACGAGAAAGAGAGAGACGAAGAGAACACGGATATTTATTTAATTGGATAAGAGTCGGGGGTCTCTCGAATGCTCGTTTATATGCAAACGGATATTCTCTGATTTTTGCGATTTCGCGTGCGAGAAACCGGCTGATGCTTTATCTCTATTTCCCTTATTGAAAAATTCCATGCATGTTAAACAGATCCTGGGTGACGTTGCGCTTTGATTCGCGATTTTACGATTTGTGACGTTGTTATGCTTGAAGCGCATTACAGTATTGCAAGCTGGAAACTTTATCCCTTCAAGCATTTTATGCGATATGCGATCGTTCTTGCTGCTATGTGACATTTTAGAAGCGAGCATTTTTAGTCTGCATTCACCATGGATTTATTTCTCGACGAAGGAACAACAATAAAATAATAATGCTTTAATAATGACAATTCTAATCGTGGTTCCAATTTTTATAAATGTGAGTTTCAGCGAGATAAACCGCAACTAATGCTCTAATAATTGCACGTTTCTCATTTTTATTCGACAAATTACTCGGGTTGGACAAAATACGTATATTATGTATAATATACGGAATTATATATATAATGGATGTAGATTATCGTTGTTTAGATCTTATAAAAAAGCAACGTATGACGTGTACATATGTATCGTAGATACGATTATATTTATATCTTCCGTCCGTTCTTCTATCTCGGCTTCGGAATAGAATTTTTGGCACTTTTTGCACACGCCATACTGACTCTATGAGGACATTAGATTCATTGTTTTCCGATAGTACGAAAATGGACCATCTGGGGCATCACATCGATCGGAGCATCGACCGATGTAACCGGTGATTTACGCGGCCACCGACCC